ATGTTCATCTTTTGGAAAAAGCCAATTATGCTACAGATGGAAAGCTCTACTGCTATCAGAAAAGTAAAGAATTTTGATTGTGGTTTCTTCATATTAGATTTGCCTATGAGAAGCATTTTTACAAAAGCCAAAGATTTTGAGATGAATAAGATAACTTCAGAAGGCCAAAGATGTTCATCTTAGTTATTTTTCGAAAAGTATCAGTAATTTCCTTTTAAAAATGGAAAAAAATCTCTTTCTGCATCCCGACGAAGTCCACTACACTAGCAAAAACCCTCAATAAAATGTTTTAAGTAAATCTCCCCGTCCACAAAAGAAAAAACAGAAAATTGATTATTTTTATTTTAATATAACATCACCTCCTAAACTAACAAGTTTTTGGCAAGTATGAATTAACACTAAATATTTACTTAGGCAAAGGCAAAGTAGTTTATGGAAGCGTAAGTGTACATTTAAAATCAATATACACATGGACGCTCTGTGCAGTGGCACATGACTGGATTGCTTTAATTATAATCTTGACATCATTCTTCTAATAAAAGACAGAGCATTGTTGACTATGGGGCTGCTTTTAATAGACAACATGACTAGACCCTCATTATGCCATGAAATAAAATGTCTGCATTTACTGCATAGATTCATTTCTAAAGTCTTTAATTGTTTGTGAACAAGCCAAAGTAATACAAAATATTAGCTTAACAAAATAGTTCAAATTTGTCACAGAAAATAAGCCATGTGTTGCTCTGCAGTTCCCTTTACCTGAAAACACTTTCTCATGTGAAATATTTTACTATATGTTCACCAGATAATCCAGAGCAATACTACCACAACAGTCTACAGCATTCATCCAATACAAATGCCCAGAAGAATCTTATCAAAAATATTCTACTGGTTGGGTATGAATCATACATATGCAATTGTGATTTTAAGGGTCTATTATACATTGTTGTACAACTGTTCTTACTGTAGTTGTATATTAAGTTGTTATAACGCAACCACATTATACAGCTTTTGCTTTTAAATCTTAGAATAAACTTTATAATGCTACAATTAATCAATTGGTGGTCTGATTTGAGTAATCTTCCAAAATATCATAAATTATTTCTTAGTTAGGCTTTGTAAAAAGATTCACTCATTCTTGAAGTTGCTACTTACAATGAACTGACTTATGAAAAGGTTAAAGTTTTATTTCACGGTTCCTAAAAATAAATTATATAACGATGGATAATTAGACCTAAGGCTAAGAACATTGTTTATGGGGATGTGTGTACAACATTATATTTATACCACACAAAAAACCTCACTTTGGTGTAAGGGAGGAAAAATCCCCAACCAAAACTTTCACTTGTAGATGCATTTCTCTATAATTCTTAAGAGCTCTGTAGACAAGTTCAATTAAGAAAATATTGTGTCAGAGAGAAGGAGTGAGAAAAAAAGTTAAATATGTCCATTCTTTGATTAATCTACACTGCCGTGTTTTTCATTCTAATGCAAAAGCGCAAAATGCAAAGCTGGAAACAAGTTGTTGTTTGTTTTTAAAAATCACACTAATATAGAAAGAGAAAAAAATCAACTATGAGATCTCTAATTACTTTTCCAGCGATTCTCGAGCCCGCCTCAGCATTTGAACATGATTTCAAATACAATCTGCTGTAAAATTGTTTTTATAACTCAGAAGATAAGGAAGGAAAGTACAACATTTTGGAATTGCAAGATAAAATGCTTAAGTAATGTGGTAGACCAACACATCTTCAAAGATTTTATTCTAACTTTTCACTGAAATCACAGTCTTTTCCTGACTTTACTTCCCAGGTATAGGAATACAACTATTTTACACTGTATGACAAAATGAACTTTAAAATGTATTATGTAATTCATAGAATGTGCACAGTAGTGTCCAGGATATGTTACATCTAGTAAGAGACAAGAGAATTCCATTACGTATGACAATTTATCTATTATCATCAGACATTTTTGGACATGAAGTATACTGTGCTGGTCAATAAATAATTTGATTGGCAAACTAAGTGTCAGGTTAAGCATTTCAAATTATCATGATACAATACGATTAATATTGCTAAGCTGCAGGCATTCAACTTTAAGATAATTCATTTGAAAAAAGTTTGTTTCACATGCACTCATAATCACTATTACGCAGTACATGTGTAGATCTGAATGCAAAACATATTGATAGTAGTGAGTTTATTTCCAGATATTGGTACTTTCAAAAGAAGAAAAGAATACTGCATATAAACAGCAAGATAGTCAGTGGTGACATTAAATGTGAAACTTATCTTCAAAAATATCTTGGTAGCAGTTATCCCTAAACAGATGAAGATAAATTTCATTTCCGTAATTAGGTAAAAGGGGCTTATACACATGGCACATGCGCTTTTTCCTGTACAATCTTTTAAACTGAGAGTTGCTTTTGCCCTTGGACAGGTATGTGCTTTATTTCAGTCCTGTTGGTCTCTCTCTCCAATGCCCTAGCCACATTTTTCTGACTGCATCTCTTGGCTCTTCTGGCTGCATCTTTCAAACCCTCCTACAGCATCTCTCAGCTCCTATTTTCTCATTTAGAGCTCCTCTGTCCTTGCCTCTCTTTGCATATCTTATCCCCTCTCCCAGCCATGGGATTTTGGTGAAGAACAAATTGAAATAAACACTTATTTCAATATTTTGTGCCATTTTTGGTCAATTTGCACATATCTTCATGTCATATGTATAATGGGGCTGTATCATCCACTCAGTTGTGTGCAATTACTTATTTCCACTAATCAACTTGGTCGTTTTGTGTGCATTGCTCAAAAACATGGTTCTGAGATCAACTTGCCAGTCAAATTTCAGAAACATGTTATTTTAATATTAGTTTGGGCACCAAGATTTTGTGAATATTTTGCAAAAAGCCAAAGATATTTTAAGTGCTAGGTATGCTAAGGGTACCTTATAGAATTTTGTTCCCATCTTTTTCAAATACAGTGGTCACAAACCTTGCTTATACATCAAAACTTTGATGTGGCAGTAGTTGTGATGTCACAGAGGAGTATGACTTGTTGAAATAAATGGGCAGCAGGAGAAACTGAAAGTGAGCAAGAAAAAGAATACAGTTCATGTGGACACAGGCAGGAATGGAATTAAAGCAGCTCTGAAATGTCATCTTTATCACTGAGAACAAAACATAACAACAGGAGGAGAAAAAAAATTGCCATAAGAATCAAAAGCCTAGACCTGCTCTTACTTAAGCCAATGGCAATGGAAGCAGGATCAGACCCCAAATAAGTGAAATAAGACTTTTAATTTCATCGTGTACATGCATTTACTTAAAACATGAAACCATCGTATAGCAGAATCTAAGTGGTAAGAACTAACCACCTGATTTCTAATATAGAAAGTTAACTTTTCCCTGCTGTAAGTCATGGCAGGCCTAAACAACGTACTTGTAAACAGCATATGTAAAGATAACGTTTCTTGTTAAGATAGAAAGATGAGTCTGAGTTTTTTCCTCAGAAATTGCTGAATGTTTAACTATTAGATGTCATCTAGAGTTCGCTCTCTTATAATTTACCCTTTCTTACTATATATTTCTATTAAGCCCTGAGAGTTTTTTGTTTATGAGATCATTATCATTTCTAAAGCAAGAACTATGAGGTCACAAACAAGTATTCTGACCCCCCATGTATGAAGAACCCAGCAGGGATCTTCCATGAATACAATCAGCTTTGGGTTTAGTCATTTAAGCACAACAGGACAAGGGCTATAACAACAGTAAAACCTCTTTGATTAAATAATGTACCATTATTCCAGAGTTATATTAAGCAACAGTCTGTCTGTAAATTACCCATACTCCTCAGGCACACATAGCACATGTTCTTTGGCTATCGTTATTTCTTTTGCAAGACTTATGACTATTGTATCACAAGTTACGTTCACAACCCAGACAACTAGAGATCATAATTTTCAGTGAGAGAAAAAATATACAGCTAAGAACTTAAAGCAAAAAGTACTGAGTTCCTTTTTACATAGTAATTTGAAAGATTATCTAGATACTATATTTGCGAGAAAGTGAATAATTATTTCATATAATTAGCCAAGTTCATGCTTAGTGCAGTTACCTGGTACACAGATTTAATAAACCTTAGCAAGAAAGTTCAACAGTTTAAGAATTTTGTGTAATCACCTACACTAAATCACTCCTCTTTCTCTAGAACAGATTTCATACAATTTATTGCCTCCTTTACACTATCTAACTCTGCTATGGTCCCTTCTGGCAGCGAGCATCATAAACTGTATTGCATGCTCCTACTGCTTCTGTAGTTAGAGACAGTGATTTAAGGTGACCATACCGTACGGTCCAGAAAACTTGTCTAACAGTTAGCCAAAGTGAAGGGAGCATCCTCTGAACACTGCCCCATTCGCAACCTGACTATTCGTGCCAACGTGGGGTTTCCGTTTCTAAAGCATTGCTTTAGTTTTGGAGCATCCTGCATCTCGACCCTCTCTCAAAGAGGCCATCACAGGGTAAGAGGCAGTTTGCACGTTATCAACAGACCGTCCGGTATAGTCGTGCAGCGGAGCCCCACAATTAGGCTGGACTTCTAGGCGCTCATCTTCCCGAACGCGGAACCTGCAGGGCTGTGGGCACCTTGCAAGGCGCGCTAGGGAGCGCTCAGAGGCCTGGAGGGGACGCAGCGAGCTCGGGAGAGCTCGGCAGCGGGCTCTTTGCTCTGTTTACAGAGAAGAGCCTCCAGGCTGGCCTGGCACGAGCAGCTCGGGAGCACTCTCACCACCCACCCCAGGCTTGGGACTCCCGCGGAAACAAAGTTTTCCTGGCGCGTGACTGTGCCCAGGGCTCCGGCTGCCTGAGGAGCGCAAGGTGCCCGGGCACCCACCCACCCGCACCCTGGAGGAGGCTGAGCACACTCCCTTGCCACCAGTGGGCAGCCAGTCAGGAGAGGCGCCGAGCCGGGGCGTGAGGAGTGACAGCGAAGTTTGCCGCTCACCTGGCGTTGGTGCAGTCGTTGTACAAAGTTTCGAAGTCTTTCCTGGTGATGAGCTTGCAGCGGTTCACGCCGGGCTGGATGGCGCCCAGCCCCCGCAGGATGCGGACCTGTTCCACCGTACACACCACGGGCGATATATCCAGCCGCTTCAGCTTGGTGTAGACCGTGTGCAGCCCCCCCACCAGGTGCTTGAGGAAGAGATCAAAGACCTGCGGCAGGCAGATCAGCTCCTGCCCCTCCACCAGGAAAGAAGCCACCTTCACCCCGTGCAGATCAACCATCTTACACTCGTTGCTGCCACCCCCTCCGCCGCCTCCCGTGCCCGCACCGCCGCCGCTGGAAGCCAGGAAACTGTTGACCAGGCTGTTGGTGAGCCTGGGGGACTCGGAGGGGCTGGAGGAATAGAGGGGGTCTGCCCGGAACAAGCTCCCCGGGCCCCCCACGCTGCCGCTGCTGCTGCCGCTGCTGGAAGTTGCCGAGATGACGGGAGGCGCGGAGGAGACAGCCATGGTCACTCTCTGCGGCGGCTCAGCCCCGCGCTCCCTGCCACGCTCACTCTCCCCAACTGTTTGCAGTACGACCCAAAACAGAGTCTCCCACTCACTCGCTCGCGCACGCAGCAGCCGCTCGCTCAGAGCCCTCCCCACCTCCACCGGGGCGGGGGGGAAGAGTGACAGCCCCCTCCAGCCAATGCGCCTGGCCCTCAGCAAGCGTGGCCCCGGCTAGTGGCTGCTTGCAGAGGGGAGCTGGGGCTGCTGCCGCTGGAGGAGGAGGCGGCTGCTGGTGTTGCTGCTGCTCGGGAGGGGGAGTGGCGTGGAGCCCTGCCTCCACCTTTTGCCCGCCCCGCCGCCTCTTCTGACCAAAGTGACCATCTGCCAGCCCGCCTCTTGCCTTCGGCCACCTGGGGCTGCAGCAGCCTTTTCACTTCTCGCCACCATAGGGTTGTCACCTGTCCATGTTTGCCCAGGACCGGCCCTTCTTTGCAGTTAGCAGTAGCTGTCCAGGGATGTCTGCCAGGGTGCTCAGTATACGCTGCCAGCTGCCCAGTTCAGTGGGCTCAGGACCATCCTGCGTGCTCCGTTTGTTTGGGGTTTCTTTGTACCTCAGAGGCGGCAACCTTAGCACATGGGTGCATGTGTTCCCCCTCACACTTTCCTCCCCTTTCTCCTCTCCGAGTTTGTAGTGGGCTGATGGACCCCCTGCATCCTCTGCCTGCCCACTAACCCCCTGCCCCTTGTGGTTCACTGCTCCCATCTAGCACAGACCCCTCCCCCTTGCAGTAAGCTGTCCCCCTTTTCTCACATGCCCCCTTTCCCTTTGTGGGTCATGTGGCCGTAGGGTGACCAGACGTCCCAATATTAGGAGCTTTGTTTTATATATACAATTATACCGTCACCCACCCACCCCCGGAAAAAAAAATGTCCTGATTTTTCACACTTGCTATTTCGTCACCCTATGTGGCCCCTCCCATCTTACATGCCCCCTCTGTAATTCCCTCTCTCCCACATTTTGTTGCTAGGCAGGCCATTTGTCCGATTTTAAGACGGACAGTCTTGTTTTTCTAAGGTTTGTCCTGTCCAGCACTAATATAAAACCAGACATGGTTTAGACCAGTGTGATTCTGGACACATGGAGGATGCCATTTTGCAGAGTGTACTGCTCTGCTCCCAACAGCTTGACTTCACATGTACACCAGAGGGGGCGAGATGGGTGCTTTGCAAAATGGCGTCCTCCATGTGAGTACCCTGGCAGGGGCAGGGTCACACAGGTGAGGGCGGGCCACACTATTCCAGAAGTCCCATATTCTGTGGATGCATGAGTGGCCACCCTTTTTGTTGCCTACCTCCCTTGCCCTGCCCGCCCCTTCCCTTTACTGCTTGTTGCCTCCTGCCCCTGCCTGGTCTGCCCTCTCTCCTTGCTGTTTGTTGCTGCCTGCCTCCCTTCACTCGGCCTCACTTGTCTTGTGCACCTGCATATTCTTGTGCACCTGTGATTCCCCTCTTTTGTTCAATACCCCATTCACTGCATTCTCACCCACACTTATATACGCCCACCTAAACTCCCAGTGCAGCCGGAGTAACCTCCTACACTGCTTGTTGTAGTCCTCCCATCCTTTGGGTTTGCCTACACCCTCCACCTCCTCCCCCATGCAGCCTAGTGCAGAGGAGTGGCTAGCTTCCATTCTCTCTCCAACCACCCTTTCCTTATTTACAGGTCCCCATCTGGTGGCTGTTCCATCACCTGTCCTCAATGGTGGCCCTCAATCTGGGCAGAGACTGAGGGAGGGTTCCCTGGCCAACATTGTTGCCCCACCTCAGCTTTTCTGTCCCATCCGCCACCACAGCTATCATCAATACCTCTGCCAACATCACTGGTGTGGCAGCAGAAGGCACAGGAAGGGACTCTGCTGCCAAAAGCACCACCATCAATGAAGCCCCCTCAGTCAGCAAGAAGGGCAGGGCAAGAAAAAGGACAAGAGCCCAGCACAGAAGGTTCCTTCTGCAGCAGTGGCTGCTACTGCCATGGTCCACCACCCTCCTGCTGTCCCTTCACCAGCTCTAGAGGCACCCAATCTTCAGCCCCCAGGGCATATGCCCAGGTGGCTGCAGACCCACCTGCTGTGGCCCATCCAACCATTACTACTGCTACTGCTGCCACTGCTTCCTCCTTTTCCATTTACAGTAGTTGGGGAACCTTCCCCACCCTGACCAGGAGGCAAAGTGTCTACCACCTCCTGGTAGTCACCTCCCCACACAGTGAAAACTATGTGCTGGTGTTGGCATGGGTGCAGGGCCGGTGCAAGGATATTTTGCGCCCTAGGCGAAACTTCCACCTTGCACCCCTCCCCTCAAATAAATCACATACATTATACACAATACACGGTCACAGAGTAACATGTTATAATTTAGAATTTATGTTTCCGCGCTTTAAGTTTAGCAAATTTAGAAACAAGTTCCTCCAAGTATCAGAGGGGTAG